ATTTTCATTAATCATGTTATCAAAATTATCATAATCATCTGATAATAATAGCTCTTCTTCAGCATTATATCCAGGTACTAGACGTTCTATACGGCAAGCTTTTGCTGATATTGGATTGTATTTTGCAGATTGTCTTAATTCTCGATCAAGCATTGATTCCTCAGAGCATCGATGTAACAATTCAATATTTGAAATAATCGAGCTTATGCGTGTTGGTAATGAAGAACTATTTAAATATGCATTACATGCATCTGCCCAAGAATTATAATTTTCTATAAGATCGTAAACTGATTCCCACGGTTTAAATAATGTAAGAATACTTAGGCCATAATATTCTTCATCTTTAGTATCGTTTCTTCTTGGTATTCCTTTACCATATAATACAACAGTTCTTTCTGTTCCATGTCTTCGTTGTATTTGAATATGAGTTTTGCATTGTGGATGAACTTCATTAGATGTATAATTAGATTCATATCCGCAAAAAGAAAAACGGTCAACACGAGTATTATTAGTTCTCAAGTGTTGATTTGATAGTATAGATAGTTCATGCGAATTAAGAGGTTTTTTTTGAATCGTTGATGCATAATCGTAAAGGCAAATCCCTTTTAATAATGGTCCTCTAAATTGGTAGTCGATTCTGAGGTTTACAGCTGTTAGTTTGCCTTGAGTTGAAGATATTATAAAAGATTCCGATGATGAACATTTTTCTTTAGCTTCATCCGTTTCGTTATTAGGAATCTCGGTATCTATATTTATATTTTTACCACACTTAATTAATTCTTTCGTAAGGTAATTGACAAAGGTAGGTAGATGTATAGAGACAAATTTATTTGGAGTATAATGATCGGGAATATTTAAAAGATATGCTGAGACTTGCGGGCCCGTAAGTTCTGTTTGTCCTGCAATTTTGTTAAGACATTTTGTTATAAGTTTTTTGGATTTATTTACAATGTCAATAGAAGTATCATCAGAACTTTGTTCCAAAAAAGTTTCTAAAGTTGATGCACATATTAAGAAAGAATTATGTGTATTAGCATCAGACTTAGTAATATAGTCTGTGATGTAATAAACATAAGCTAGAGCCAGTTTTCGTGTTAAAATAAATTTAATGTCATTATTTCCTCTACACGCAGAGGTTATATATGGATTATGATTATTGATTAACGCATTAGTGCGTTGTACAGCTACGATACCTTGTTCAGGTATAATTATTCCAGGAGGGTTTACCAATTCTCTAGGAAAATCAAACCGACATGGTTTATTTAAACCACGGTTATATTTTTTACATGTTTTGTTACAACGGTGATAAAGTGTGCGTTTTGCAATTGCAAGTAGATCCATACGAAAATTTTCTTCAAAGTCTAGTAGTTCTGGATCCGGAATAGATTTGAAAGAGGGATGCATTCTTTTTTCTGTTAAAGTTTTTGGTGTCATATATTCAGTTTTAAGCATTTCATCTGTTATAATTTTATCTTTTGTAAGATAGCTTATGTCTTCTCGAACTATATTACTGATATATTGTAATAGGCGTTGAGAAAATTCACTATCGGTTTTAAGTTTCTGACGTAAGGTAATTGGGTCTAGTGTACCATAAAGCCAGATTATCATATGGCAATGGGGAGTACCACAATCCTGGTACTCGACAATACCATAATAATTTTTTATTATTCCAAACGTGCCTCCATTTTTTCTGTTGTAACCGATTATCGTGTCTATAATCGTTTGAATAATAATATTAAAATATTTGGCCACTGCCGAAGGGTCAAGGTGTGCAAGTCGGGCTCTTTCACTAGCTTTTGGAAAATTATCTGGGAAAAGATTATTAGGATCTATCTCATTTCCAGCATACATCATCACAATTGGACTGTGAAGATCAGCTGGATTGATTGTTATAAATACAGAAGGCGCACCATCTCGTATAATAGTTGCACGTATTTCATTACGCATCTTGGAACGTGATTGGTATGATGCCATTAATTTAGATCCTGCGGAATTGATACTTTTAAGTAATTCAAGTATCGTTGGATTAGATATAGGTTGTTTGTTATGTATTTGTTCTATAGCTAGTTTTATGTCATTTGGTTTGAGCGTATTTATTAAGTTAGCCGATGTTTCAAAGTTACTATTTTTTGTTAAATTATATGATTCCAATGATACTTCGCGCCTTTGTAAGATATTAAAGGCAACGAATGGAAATGATCTGTGTTGGCGAAATTTAGGATCACGATGGCACATTAGATGATTTATATATTCTTTAAATGAAATATGGTGTAATCGACCTTCATGACCCCCTACGCCATATGGATAAAGGGTTGGGAATGCAGCAGGAAAAAGAGTCATGTCTTCATATTCATTTATTGGTGTATTTCCATGAGGCACACAAATTACTTTTGATCGAGTTGTTTCTGATGTAATTTTTGAATTATTATTTAGTTCTTTATCTTTGTTTTGTGAATCTGACTTTTCTATGAGTCTCTGTAAAGAACTCAGTGTAAGCTCCTCTTCCGATACTGGAATATTATTTACATATAGTATACCTGATGATCTAAAGTTATATGCATCGCCTATAGTATTATTTTTTATAAATTGATCGGTTTTATTTTCAGTATTTATATTTACATCATCAGTTTCACTTTCACTACTCGATTCGTTATGTTCTAATGGATCGTTGACATATCCAGTATAGTGCTCTATATTTTGAGTATTAAGGTCAATAATAGTAGTTGTTAATAGTAAAGATTTAGGAATTTCTCCTTCAGGTAAATCGTTTAATATACTATTATCAAATTTAAGATGTTCTTTGTATAGTTTGTTATGTTTAAAAAGCCATTGAAGCGCAGCAGCAACTTTAGTTTTTCGTACTTGAAGGATTTTTTTCAGATAATTTCTAGAAGGAGCCATTTTTCCAACAAAAATCACTTTTAAATAATCGCAAAGTTTAAATAATGGTAAAGGTAATGTTTTCATTAAAGAACTCGGATTCTGTGGTAAGGTAATAACGTGTCCTTTAAGTTTGTGGTGAGTATGCTTTTTATCTGTTATTTGGATAAGATTCATGCATGTGTATCCTGGAGATATGATTAGTTGTTCCGGGATTGTTAATTCTTGGAGACATGTAGGTGTAGTTCCAATCCACATGTTATTTGTTAAAGATAGTGGAGGTGTAATATTTTTTTTTAGATATCTATAACAAACATTACATATTCGTAAAGTAAGCGTATCATTTTTATTTTGGTAATTAGGCGTGTATATAAATCCAGCTCGATCAAGCAGTATATTTAAATTGTTATCGTCGATATATGGTTCGTTATAATGAAAGTTTATTTCAAAAAATGGAGCGGTAAGTTCTTCTGGAGCTTTAAGTAGTGTTAGGTTTATGTCTTTTATTGAGATTTCTTTATAATTTTTTCGGTTATTAAGTTTTGAACAGATAGCACATGGTAATTCTCGTAATTCATTTAAGCTAGTAATATCACGAAATTCTTTTAAAGCTTCCTTTGATAGTTCCGAATCAATTAATTGTGGCCAATTTAAATGTTCTTGGATTTTTTGTTCAAAGCCTTTATTCATTTCTAATACGTGCCAAGGTAAACCTGCACATCTTGCTTGGTTATCTCTAGCAATATGAGTCGTAATTCTTTTTCGTTTTCTAAGATTTCTTTGGTATTCACAATTTTTTTTCCTTCTTGTTTTTCCTCGGGTTTCAACGAAGTTCATCGTAGGTTTTAAAGAACATGTATTTTTTTTTAATATTTTTTTTTTTAAAACAAAATTTTGATTTTTAATATGTTCTATTTATATATTACCGATAGTATGTTTTCATTATAATAAGATATTTATAAATTTATTTTTAGTTCATATTAATATATAGTATTTTATTAATTTCTTATTTTCGTATCGTTATAAAATAATTAGTATTTTTATCTTAATGAATGGTAATATTTTTAATTCTCTTTTTGTACGAACGTTCAACTATTCTTCTTACATTTTTATTACATCATATTTTGTCATTTTTATTTAACCTTATTTATATTAAATTTAACTTTTATTAACAATCAAGTTTGCATTAATTATCCGTCATAGCATACTATTAAAATTATGTCATTATGATACCATTAATTTTAGTTTAATTTTCTACATGCTTTCTAATAATAATATGAATTTCCCTTTTTTTATTCATTATATTTTTTATAATTTATTATATATAATAGAAAAATCTGGTTATAATCAGGATATTCTCTTAAAATTGCTAATTAAATTTAACCATGATTTTAATATTAAGTCATGATCAGCATTGCATAATGCACATAATTTTTTTTTTTTTTTTATTCAATGTATGCACGGTTAGGGTTTTTCCATTTCAGATCGGGTTTAAAACTAATTCTAGTTTGGCGTAAATACACTTCTGACATATTTATGTAAAGAATAATTTTTATTGAGTATCATAGCGTGAGTATTTTTCACAGTTATATTACTAATTAACGTGTGATTTTATTCTAGTAGTTAATATAGTTTGGTCAATTTTATCGCGGGTATCAATTTTAATATATTTTTTTACTTAACATTTGTATTTTCTTTGATCACAAGTTTAATTATTAGTTTATCGTGGCAATTATGATTTCTTAGATATTTAGAAGTAAATTCTAATTACTATCAATAATGAGATATTTTTATTCGCTAATCACATTTAGTCGAAGTGTAATTTATATTGATAACTTTTTTCCATGGCATGTCAGTACTAATGTATTTAACATTTATAATTTTTTTTGATTTAGTTTTCATAAAGAAAAGCATAAATGTTCATTTTGCTTATATTTTAGATATTTAAATATATACATATTTCAGTTACAAATATATCATAACGCAAAAGGGTAATTTTTTTAAAAAAATAAAATAAGTTGATATTTTCATTTTTTTTCATTCATATTTTTAACCATCTCAGCTCGACTTCTCGTATTATGTACTACAGATTGCGCTACTTTCTCTTTACCTTTGTTTACCTTTCCATTATCACACACAACATAGTTGCTTTCGTTAACGATTTCAACATCACTATCATATTTATTACCCACGTTTGTATATTTTTTACTACATTCGGCATCTTGTTCATAAAGATCATCATCATCTTCTACATCTTCTACTCTAGCGTGTTTCGAGAAGTGAGAATTTTCGGTAGTTAAATCAATCGTATGTTTATTCGGTTTGATCGAAGGTTCTTCAGGTGACTTTTCATTAGCATTTTGGTGTGCACTTAAGAGTTTTGATCGAATAGATTTATATAATTCAGATGTCGTTTGAGAATTATTCAAACCCGAGAACTTTTTTTTAGCTACATAATTGACATCAACAAGGAAGATATCAGCAGCGTAAACATATAAATCATTATCAATAGTTTCTACTTGTCCCACAATAAAAGGCACTGATTCATTTGGATGAATTGAATTCATCAGATATTTAAATCGGTTGTTATTGTATGGAAATGCAATTTTCATAATAAAATTATAATGCTGAGCAGCATAATCGTTCACCAGTACTTTGAATATTGCATTTTCATCATCAACCTCTTTTGGTATATCTTGTACTATGCCAATTAGTGAAGTTTTCAACGGGCATCTATTTGAGCCAAGATCCCTCCTGATCGTTAAATGGGTCGAAGAAGTGACTGTCATCTAAATTTGTCAAATACAAATAATTATTATTACATTTCATTTAACATAACATATTTATACTTACTTTCAGTCTTAATTCATTATTATGAGTTCCAGGTACAACTTTTCCACATACACTGTAATATTCATTTTTTACGAAAATTGATTGAGTATTAGGATCCCTTTCTTTTTCATTTATCGGGACAAAAAGAACAATCTCTATTTCTCGATCTTCACTTTCAACCGGGTATACACCGATTGCCCATACAATGGTTAATCTTGACTCTTCCTTGTCGGTCTGTCGAACCTGATTTATTTTTACGATCGTATCAACACTGCAAGGCATCGTAAATTGTAATCTGTTGACAATACGAAAACCTATCGGCTCTTTTTATCTTGTTTTACAACAGTAGCATATTATATCATACGAATTTATCAGTTAACTATAATTATCCAAGTTCACACAATAACGCATTCATTTATTTATAATAAAGCGCATATACCATTGACGTAAAATGTCATCATTTACAAACATAAATTCATTTATTACTCAATAAATATTCATTGATTAAACCATTTCATCATGTGTTAAAAATATCATATGAAACTTACCCCTTTCAATAATTACATAATACATCTGGTAAATACATTCGATTTTCACACTCACGACATTTTATGTAAACCCACATCATATTTCATAAGTTTCACTTTCAAACAGTTAAATAAAAATCGCATAATCATATAATTAATATAAATTCAAATCCATGATCTAATAATTCACGATCAGAAAAATCGTAAGTATAATTATTTATTTACTATTAACCTTTTTTTTTTACATTCTTCGCAAGGGACGCCGTGAGGCGTCATCTAAAAAATTCTACCCTTAATCGTCATCATGACATATAACCAGTCATCCATCCATTTATACCCCTCCATCAAAACCCGAAAGTTTACATTATAAAAACCCGTTAAAAGTTAAGCGCACAAAAATAACATGCGTTGTGATCAAATGTATAATCCAATTACACAAGTTCACTTTAAACAATTAAATCAAAATCGCGTAATTACAGAATTAATATAAACTCAAGTCCATGATCTAATAATTCGTAATCAAAAAAATTGCAACTAACATGCGTCATGCTCTAATGTACAATCCAATTAACTTTTAAAACCGTCTTCCAATCAGCTCTGAGATTTTGCCTTCGATTTAGTTGCCAGTAAAACCATACACTTACGTTCCTGGTATTTTTGCCCAATATGTATACATATCGGGAGATTTGTCTCTTGATATGTACCTGCTATTTATTGATTCAACCTGTGTATTTCTCAAAAGTGACTAAGGTAATCAGTTTTGATATACTAAGTAAGAATATTCAACATGCCTGAAAACCTTCCCAAACTCCTAATTTAAACCTTAAAACCTAATCCTAACATTAATCTTCAAGTTAAAAATTTTTACGATTTTATATAAATCTATATAGAAATATATATTGATTTATATAATAACTACATTGGGTTATGAAGTTTTATAAGTTTAAATAAAGATTCTACATAACGTTATGTAAAAATTTTATATAGACCTATGTAAAAATGTATTTCTATAGTTTCGGGTTGAATTTACTGTAGCGGTCTATTAAGTTTATTGTACCAATTTGCACGATATACAATTGCGAATCCTCCTTTTCCCTGATATCTCTGAATTCATTGTAGTCAATCCAAGATAATTTAAATCTATCATCGTCTAATATACTCTTAAGTTCAGGATTGATATGATCTGGTGATTTGTTAGTTTTCAAAAGACTTTTATAATTCTGTACCAATAATTTGCACTTTGAATATCTCTCTTTGTACCAATACCGTTTCGATAATATTGAGCAACATAACTCATTGCTGATTTAGCACCCATATTAGCAGATTTTCTATAGTATTCAAACGCTTTATTATAATCTTGATCAACTCCACTTCCATTTGTATAACAAAAACCAACCATGTTTATTCCAAAAACATTACCCAAATCAGCCGATCTCTTACAATATTCAAATGATTTCTGGTAATTTTTTTTTACTCTGATTCCATAATTATAACAATGACTAACATCATTCATAGTATTCGAATTTCCTAACTCAGCTGCTTTCATATAATATTCAAAAGCCTTCTTTTCGTCTTTTTTCAACATCAATACCAAGTTGATAATTGTAGCCAAGTGTACGAAGTTGATTAGGTTCTTCAGGGTCTTCTTTTTTTTTAAAGAGTGAAAAAAAATTCATGTTCTGAATAAAATACTTCAATTGTCCGAAAATGTTGTATATGGCATTTAATATTTAGTCAAAGTGATACAAAAGTTATGCCAATAGTTACGTTTTTGTTTAGCTCGTTAATTGACTTATATTGTTTATCAACATGCCTGTCCGCGTGACAAACCCAAATTAGCCTATTCATTAAGTTAGCTGATAATTGATGCATTTGCCGGAATTTTAGATAATGCCGGTAAAAAAAATCTATATCATGGGATAATAAATTTCGAAAAGAATCACGTTACATGACACTTGTGTATTTATTTTGGACTATACCGGCAAATCAGTTAGGCCAGGATGAGTTTTTATTGAAGAGTTAGCAGAATACATGAATAGCAAAATGAGTGATTGGCCGAGTTGGTCGGAACGGCAAAGACCACCCGCGAAAGTAGCAATCGTGGCAAGCCGGCTGAGCGAAGAAACAATAGAATCACGTGTTCTTTATCTAGGAGTGAGTTGGATGGGTCGCAAAAGAATTTTTTGTCCCAAGCACTGACCGGTCAATTTTCGCCGCCTTTAGTTCTTATACTTACTCGATCTCATTCAGCGCCCGTCCCTTTCTTGCTTGCTTTGCGCCAACGCACATGTATGCGTATGAACTTCTCACGCCGTTTTGATATTCACATGTGCCAGCATATCGAGGTTGAGGATGAGGCTGTCGTGTGGCTGTTTCTCTTTTCAATCACGTGATATACTATCATAACCCTAACTCTAACTATTCTTTATTAGCAATATACAATTAAATATTGAAATATTATATTTATAACACCGTGTTATATATAACACCCTATTATTTAGACTATGTTGTTGCAACTAAAGTTTA